GCGACATCTGGTGGCCTAGGGACACGGGCTCGGTCCTGGGGACACACGGACCCCCTTCATGGGGACAGCAACAGCACGTACAGGGATGAACAGACTATGAGAACAGGGATGCAGGGACCACCACCATATAGATGTATGGACCACAGTCCTGGGGACACACAAGCAGTGGTCCCAGGGAGACATGGACCATCCCTGTGGGGATGGACAGATCATCAGCATGCGGACAGACAGGCTAGAGGAACAGGGACACAAGGCTCAGCATCACAGGGACATATGGACCACTGACATGGGGATGGATGGACCACGTGCATCATCACCACGGACCACAGTCACAAGCCACCACGGGAGGCAGGGCCTGGGGCCCAAGGGGGTGGACAAGGGCACAGCAAGGGGAACATTTCCACAGCTCTGGGCTTGGCAGCGGAGCCAGGGCTGAGTCAGGTCCCTCATGGCTAGTGAGCAAGACAGGCTGGACCAATCACCAAGGTTCATCACAAGATGCATGGGGACACCGAGCTGGGAGGCGAGGGGGCGGCTGCACATCATGCAGCGTAGTGGGAAGATGGGTGGGTAAAGGCAGGAAACGCTGCAGCCACAGGGTCACCCCCAACTCTGACTCTACAGTAGCACCCCCAGCATCCCGGCTGGGCAGACTGCTCTGGGCTCGCTCGGGCTGAGACCCCACAGTCAGACAGCCCCAAGCCACCACCCTGTCACACCAAGCATCCCAGCCCCTTTCTGCCCATTATCAGGCTGCCTGACCCCCCGTCCTGCTGCCTCCCCCAAGGAGGGGGTGCCATGGGACGGCCAGGCTCACTGGCTTGGCACAGGGGGTCATGCAGTCCCCACCATGCCCCCACCTTGCAGACGGAGGTCCACCACGTCACTCTCGTCTTCCAGCCCGTCGATGACCTCGCAGCGGTATTTGCCATTATCCTGCAGGCGCACATCACTGACAACCAGCGAGGCGTCTCGCCGGCCGGCCTGGTGGAGGTGAGCACGGCCCCGGAAGTCCCCAAAGGCCATGTAGGTCTTGCCGATGGCCACCAGCACATCCTGCTCCTTGGTGTAGTCGTCCCGCAGCTTGGACCACTTGATGCGGATCTTGCGCTTGGCCTCCAGGTCAGGCTCATAATGGTAGTGACAGGGCAGGGTGACGTTGGCACCATTGGAGCTGTAGACGGGGTCTTTGGGGGTCTCCACCACCAGCTTGGCCCCATTGAAGTAAACCACTGGGGTCAGGAAGGGAAGGCACGAAGGGTGGTCAGAGTCCAGGCCTGGGTAGCATCGTCACATCTCCCTGCAGCCACTCTGCTCCCTTCCTCCAGGCATCTCCCTTTCTGCCCGAGCATCCCATGAGCATCCCTGGAGCACTCCCGCCTGCTCCTCTGGATCCCACACCACCCACAAGAGATGGGTCCCAGCCCCATCCCAGAAATAGGGAGGAGACTTCAACCCCTTGCACTGACCTGCCAGCCCCTCCTTCCGATCGCCCTCCAATACCCAATATACCTTTCTCCTGCCCGTTGCCCTTGTCGTTCATGATGTGGTTGTAGTAGAAGCCGTTGTAGAAGGGATGGTGGGAGCCGCTGGCCAGCCGCAG